ACAATGCTGAAAAAGAAGGGCAAAGTCGGAGGATTCACAATTCCCAATTTCAAAACTTATTGTGGAATTGGTGTGAGGACAGACATATAGACCTATGGGCTATATCTGAGAGTTCAGAAATAATCTATGGCTAATTGACTGCCATTCAAAGAGGAAAGAACACTCTCTTCAACAAAAATGGTGCCAATAGAACTGAATATCTGAATGTCAAAGAATGGAGTTGGACACCTACCTCATACCATGTATAAAAATTAAGCCCAAATGGGTCAAAGACTTAAATATAAGAGATAAAATGATAAGAAAATTATAAGAAAACAAAGGGATTTCTTCATGATCTTATAGTTGGCAATGGATTTTAGATACGAAGCCAAAAGTAAATAAACAGATAGATGAATAAGACCTAACGAAAATTTAAAACTTCTGTGCATCAAAGGAAAAGATTACACAAAAAAGAGAACAACTGTTTTGACTTCTTCTTATTCACCCCACTGATAAGAAATGGATTACTGTCCTATGGTTGTGGGGATAGTTCAACACTCAACATCTGACACTGGACAAATGTAATTAAAAGCAGTTTACTAGTTACATATACTCAAAGCCCAGGAGAGGAGGATACCATATGCCATGCAGGGTCACAGGAGGTTACTTGAGAACAGAGTGAACAATCAGGGACTGTGGAAGGCAGGTCCTGTAGCATGAAGGGAACAGAGAGACGATGCTTCCTGCGGGAGGATGAGATGGTTTGTTTCCATAATTCCGCAGCTGACCAGGAACTGAAATGCACCACTCAGGAATAAGCAGAGACTACCTAGACACCTGGACAAAGAGGAGTATTTGGGAAGGGGGCCTGATCCACAGGAGCAGCGTAGGGAGAGACTATTCAAGGGCCTCCTGGTTTCACCAGATATCAAGGCAGCACATAATATTGGACTTAATTTTAGGCCTTCAACTATAGCAACTCTGAGAATGGGAGAAAATATTTGCAAATGATATATCTGATAAGGGTCTAGTATGCACAATTCAGAAAGAAGTTTCAGAACTCAACAACAAAAAGAACAGCCCAATTAAAAAATGGGCAATAGGTGAGGGATTAAGAAGTACAGACTTCCAGTTAAATTAAATTAAATTAAATAAGTCATAAGTTTGAAATATACTGTGTTAGAAATACAGTCAATAAGTGTGTAATATCTTTGTATGGTGACAGATAGTAACCAGACTGTGGTGATCATTTTGAAATGTATAGAAATACCAAATCACTATGTTGTGTACCAGGACATAGTACTGTAGGTCAATTATACTTCAAAAACAAACAAACTCACAGAAAAAGATATCAGATTTATGGTTATCAGAGGTGGGGGATAGGGGAAAAGGGAATTGGATGAAGGTAGCCAAAAGGTACAAACTTCCAGTTATAAGACAAAGAAGTACCAGCGATATAATGCACAATGTGATTAATATAATTAATACTGCTGTATGTTATGATGAAAGTGGTTGAGAGAGCAAATCCTAAGAGCTTTCATCACAAGGAACATTTTTTTTCTATTTCTTTAATGTTATATCTATTTGAGATGATGGATGTTCACTGAACTTATGGTAATCACTTCATCATGTATGTAAGTTAAGTCATTATGCTGTACTCGAACTTACACAGTGCTGTATGTTAATTATATTTCAATAAATTTGAAAGGGAAAAAACAGGCTGATAATCTGAAGAGGTATTTCTCTAAAGATATACAAATGGCCAGCAAGGACATGAAGAGATGCTCAACGTCATTAGTCACCGAAGAAATACAAATCAAAATCACAATGATATATACACCACTTTATACCATGGAATGTAAACTGGTGTAGCTGCTCTGGAAAACAGTTCTGTGGTGCCTCAAAAAGTTAAACATAGAATCACCATATGACCCAGCAATTCTACTTCAAGGTATATGCTCAAAAGAATTGAAAACAGATACTCAAACAAATACTTATATATAAATGTCTGTAGCCCAAAAGTGGAAATAACCCAAATGCCCATCAACAGATGGCTGCATAAACAAAATGTGGTATATACAGTCAATGGAATACTATTCAGCTATAAAAGTGAATGTGCTACTGATTGTGCTACAACGTGAATACACCTTAAAATATCAGGCTAAGTGAAAGAAAAGGTTACATGTTGTAAATAACTCCATTTATATCAAATATCCAGAATAGGTAAATCCGTAGAAACAGAAAACAGATGGGTGATTGCCAGGGACTGAGGTTAAAGCTTACTGGGTAGGAAAACAGACAGTGATTGCTTGATGGAGACAGGGTTTTCTTTTGGGATGATGAAAATGTTTTGGAACTAGATAGCAGTGGTGATTGTATAACACTGTGAATATACTAAATGCCATTGAATCATACACTTTAAAAAAGTTAATCTTATATTATGTGAATTTCAGCTCAATCTTTTAAAAGGAGAAAAGAAACCACAGCCATGTTCCCCTTTGTCAAACATACATTTCAGGCTCTCTTTAAAACTTTTTGAAATTGAAAATAATGCTTGAGCTATAAACTAATCAATGCCTTTGAAATGGCACTGATTTAAACTACACACATACTCCCTGCCCTCCACTTATAAACCCTACCTGATAGAGTACTGAATTCTTCCATTGGTGCCTACCTTTCCTGCTTTTCTCTTTCCTAAACAGAGTGGAGGATATGTCATTTCTTCATGTTCATGAACACAATACTCACAATCTAGAACAGTGGTTCTCAAACCTGACTGCACATTAGAATCATTTCAGGAGCTTTAAAAAAATATCTCAAGTTTGGGTCCATCAACTGAATCAGATTTCTGGAAGAGAGGTTAGGAATCTGGGGATTAGGAGATCATTTTTAAAAGCTCCCTACGACACTAATGTGCTGCCCAGGGTTGAAATAACTTACCTAGAATCTTCTATGTCCACTTCCCTATAGCCAAGTGTGGCATTTTACAAACTCCAATCATCCATGTATCAGGTTTGGAAAGTTGTATTTTTCTAGAAATATAGTCACTTCATTTGAATTTCAAATTTATGAACATAAAGTTGTTCATAAACTCTTCTTTTTAATGTCTGTACATCAGTAGTAACTTCATTGTTTCTTTAGTTATACTAGTTATTTTGCCTGTCTCTTCTCCTTCTAAATTAGTCCTACTAAGGGTTTGTTAGTTTTTTAGTTGCTTCAAACAATAGAACTTTTGCCTGTATTATTTTCCCCACTGTACAACTGTCCATTTAATTTCCACTCGTACCTTTACTATCTTTATTATTTCCTTCCTTCTTTCTAAGGCTTAATGAACTCTTCTTTCTCTAGCTGTTTAAGGAGACTCATATATGCATTTAAGGGTATAACTTTCCCTCTGAGCACAGATTTAGCTTCACCTTTCAAGTTTTCATATGCTATAATCTCATTATCATTCAGTTCAAAATAATTTCAAACTTTCTTTATAGTTTCTTCTTTGACCTATAGGTTATACAGAAGTACACTGTTTAATATCCACATATTTGGGGATTTTATTATTGACTTCTAATAAATTTCACTGCGGTCAGTAAATATATTGTGAATTATTTCAGTCTTTTGAAATTTGCTGAGGTCCAACATAATCAATTTTGGTAAATGTTCCATGTGAATTTGAAAAGAATATACATCTTGCAGCCACTGGTGCAATGTTCTTTACCCGTAACTTAGGTCCAGTTTATTAACTGTATTCTTCAGGTCTTTCAGATTCTAACTGATATTTTGTTCTGCCTGTCCTAATAGTTAATGAAAGGAAACTTAAAGTCCTCTGTTATGATTATGGACTTCCTTGTAGTTCCGTGAACTTCTGTCTATGTAGGGAGTTATGATTTTAGGTACATATTACAATAAGAATTGACTATATTACCATAAAATGTCCCACTTTATTCAAATTGCCTTAAATTCACTTTGTCTGATGTTAGTATAGTTATACTAGCTCTCATTTGTATAAATAAATGTAAAATAATTTATTTTCCATACTTCTGTGTCCTTACATCTGAGGAGTCTCTTGCAAGTAGGATGAGTTTCAGCTTTTTATCCAGCCTGACTATCTTTATTTTTCAGTAGAGTATTAATACCATTTATATTTAATGTAATTATAGGATAAGTTTGAGTTCATATTTATAAATTTACTATTTGTTTTATCCTACTTGTTAATGTTTTTCTTTTCTTGCCTTCTTTTGGATTAATCAAGTATTTAAAATTTTTTGTTTCTTTCCTCTATTAAATTTTTGCTTACAAAAAACAACTCTTCATGGTTATGAGATTATAACTTGCATCCTTGATTTATCAGTCTAACGTAAATTAGTGTCTTTAGCAGTTTCCAGGCAACACCAGGATCTTAGAGTGCTTTAGCTCCATTTCCATTTCCCAATTTTTCTGCTGGAGTCATGCATTATGATTATACATACATTTTATGTGTATGTTCCTTATATTTAATAAGATAGTAATTTGAACAACTCTGTCATTATCTCTTAAAATGTTCCAATTATCCTATGTGTTCTCTTCTACTTCTCTGTGATGCCAATTGTATGTATGTTAGACTTCCTGTTGTATCCCACATATATAAATCTATATATCTATCTCATTTGTACTTGTGCATTGGTCAGGATATTTTCTACTGGCCTCTCTTCGAGGTCATTTTTCAGATAAGTACAATCTGCTAATAAATCTTTTATTCTTTTCCTGGCTGTCTCTTTGACAAATCTTTATTATTATGCTTGTGGACTAGCTGCAACGGATACAATATGAATATATGAAGAGTATATGATACTTGCCTCACAAAAGCAAATTAAATTTGAATCAGTCAATTCACTAGTAATTCTGACTACATTCTATTTAAAAGAAATGGAGCACTTTACAAAGGATATACAAAAATCACCACAATCTAGGTCACCTTTTATATTTTTAATACACTCCACATTTCATACTGGCTTAATGTTAAAAATTTATTTTAAAAGGATACTTACTCTCTCTCCTTTTCAGTCAGCTTGTCATTAATATTATCTTTGATTGTTGATCTAGATCCCTTATGAATTATAGGATATCTGAGGGGCACTTGTAGGAAAAAGGAAATCATGGATACCAAATGTGCAGTGTAACCAAGAGCAACAGCAATGCTTCCATCATCTTTTGCTGTAAATTCAAAAACAGAGAAACAGAAAACAACTATTTACCTTATAAATGTAGCCATGAGATCATAATAAATCAATTTCAAGGGAAATTTTATAATAATTAACAGAATATTATCTACTTATCTAAATTATGTGAATTTTAAATAAATCTAAATTATTAATAAGACTTAAAATTTGATCTACTATATTTAGGACTATTTTCCAATAATTAATGTGATGAGATTAACATTTGATATATAATCTTAAGAGTTCTTAATGCATTCAAGTATCCATTATTTTCTTTCCCAGCATTTTTAAGGGCAGAAATAATACTTGAGTCTATTACACAATGTGAAAATTAGTTTCAGAGGTTTAAGTATTACATCTGATATAAACATTATACATTTTATTCATTAACAACATGTTTGCACTGTTGTACTATTATACGTTATTAATTCAAAGGTTAAGTGAAATAGCGTAGTGCATCTTTATGGGCTATGTTCTTAACGTTCACAAAGAGAGCACTGTTTAAGTTTGTCTGTGAAGTTTGAGATAGGATAAGGAGAAAAAAATGTTTTAAAGAATAAAGGGCCAAAAACCACACTATTCATACACATTCTATTTTCAGAATTTTGGTGGAAGCAACTGTTGGGAAAAAATACATTTATCCTACAGTCAAATATAAATGTGCATCTTTTAAGAAGTCATAGATAATTACATTTGTAACTCAATGTCTAGATTTCTGCTATTGCCTATCAAGTGATAAACAATCATTCAGGTACTCAGGTACTTTATTATATTACTAAGGGTAATATAATAAAAAGTTTGAAGCGTGCCCAAGGGGGAAGGAAAAAGAACTGCTTGGTATACAATATCTCCAAATTACCTTTTAAAGTTCTCTCTCTCTTTCTGTCTCACACACACCCCCACCACATATGCACACACACAGATTTAACACATAATGTCAAATACCTCTGGCTAAAGAAAGGCTGAAATCATTGAGATGATCTTGGCTTGAGTGTTTCCTGATTTCTAAAGGTATCTTTAATGTCAATTATCAGCATTATTTTCCATATCCTTCTTTTATATTTATACTGAGTTATCTAAGCACTACCTTCTTATTGTAGGAAGGCCACTATAGCCATCTACTCCTCAGTGCATTCTCCCCCTTGACTACCAAAGAAGATTTTTGGTTTCTCTTTGATCATACTGTAGATAACTTTTATTGTGTACTTTTTTTTCTGCCAGGAATTGACCATGGTGCTTTATTTATGCCAGTCACTCATCAACAATTAATAAACTGGGCACCTTTTATACAGACAAAGAAATAACGTTCAAAGAAGTTAAGGAAACTGTCCAAACTAATACAGCTAGTATATGGGCTAACCTGACACAGAGGCCTCTGTCTTTAAGCACTCTACCACACTGTCTCAGAACTTTACTGTGGAATATATAATAATTTTTTTAACTTGGGAACCTAGAATATACCAAGCATATGACCCAAATGTACTATCTCAGTATCTTCACACTTTTCTAGTAAGAGCAAAGAACACATAAGTCTTTGAGTCTGTGATGACATGTTGTCTCAAATCAAATTGATGAAAAAATCAAACAGCACTCATTTCAACTGACTACTGGGCATGTGTTAACTGACTAGGATCCTAACTAGTTTTGGGGACCATGAGCTCCTGGCTCAGGCCCACCCAAGTACCTTGAGTACTACAACACATTACTTCTGTTGAAATATGTATGTCACATCACCTTACAGACTAAAACTACATTATACTGCAAATTCGTTACAATATAAGTCATCATATAATATTAAAGCTAAGAGAAACCTTAGAAATCACTGAATCTGATGCTATCAATTCAGAAATGAGAAAAATAAAATTCAGGTGGTATAAGCCATGTAAGTAAAACTATGAGTGATGGAGTAAAAGAGAGAATTGTTATCTACACCTCAGTCCCCAAAACATGTATCCCTGGAATCACAGCTGGGACTGTGAGTTCCATCAGCGGTCACCGAGTCCTGCTTTTGGTAAGAATAGGGCTTATCAAATTTATAAAATATTTGATATAAAATATTATAAAATATTCCTATCAGTAAAAGGATTTGGTCTTTAAGAATCTTCTTTTGAAGGGAGAGGAAAAGAGGAAGAAGAAGAGGACTGAGAGTAATGACGGCTAATAATAGATTAATTTCAGACTTTCCTATAACTGCTTTACACTAAGCTTTTCCTTTCTTATGTGACCTGACAGAAAACGATTTGAAAACTTTCAGAAATCAGAAGTGCTCTTAGCCTTCCAAACAGGTCAGATGCAATCTATGAATATTTAAAAAAAAATCTATCTAATGCTAAACACTCTGGCACCTACATTTTCTCATAGTACGAAAAAGGTATTACTAAAGAATTATATTTGCAAATTTTGAAGTCTGTATCCACATATCTATTAAAAAAAACAGAAACTGGTCTTCTAACATCACCTCCCTTCAATAATCAAAACAATTTTGCTGAAATCTGAAGATAAAAAGGCATCTTTAAGAGAATCCTATAAATGTAAATCAAAAACCAAAAATAAATAGCAGAACCTGAAAACTGGATAATACTGGAAATCATCTTTGATTCCGACTATTCACACTCACCCATTGTTTCCATCACAAGACTCCCTGCCCTGCCAATTAAAAACCTTAGGTTGTTTCCCATTCCCAGCCATGGTGCTCAGTCACAGCCTCACAGTTAAACACCATGGTGTTGGATTTCCAATATTGAAGCTTTATATTAAAAAGCATTTTAAAAGGGCCACGGGTGAGGCATTACAGGGCCCAGGGGTATTCCAATACCCTCAAAAGGAAAACCACCTCCTGGTAGGGAAGTCACTTTCATCACCCCAAGACCACTGAACCTCCAGTGGGAAAATGTGAGCTCATGTGGTTAATTATGGCTATTGCTGGCCACGAAACCTCAGATGTCACATTCTGTTGCCAATCACTTTAGTTAAAAAAACCAAAGGTTTAAAGTTTCCAGCATTCCAAGATCTAAAAGACTTTTTACCTGCCAAAGCCAAAACCTGGCTCTCTGGGGTGTGCTTTTCCAGTAAGCATTAATGATGTCCCTAACACCTAACGCACAGCAGAGGCTTGTGTTCCTTATGCTGCTCTGGGGTGAGAAGGGTCACAGATGATAGGTTTGTTGGTGAAAAGAAGTTAAAGGGGGAGTGGGAGGATTCAGGGAGGAACAGGAATAAACTGTAAGACACAGGTATGTGAAAAAGATCTCATTAAAACAATGCTTTACAGGGCTTAAGAACAAAACAAAAATCTGCAGTTTCCTCATAATAAATATTTCTGATTAGTTTTTTTTAAAGTAGGTAGCTACTCGGGCTGCAGTAGTTTTTAAGATAATTAAATCTTTTAATTATAAACTCCACAAACCCACAATGGCCATGACAACATTATAAATCACTTCAAATGTCCTTCTGACTTATATGCTGGACAAACTATTAATATTCAAATGCATCCAAGTACAATAAGTGATCTAAAAGCTCTTACCATCCTGCCTTCCCAATCACTGAGGCAGCTGATTTGTTAAGGAACCAAGCACCCACTGATCCAGACAGGACAAAATATTTAAGACTATAATCATTCATTGCCACAGCACCTATGGAATCATTCCATGTTCTCAATGAGACACTGTTTGACATATGGACTCTCCTTTCCAAGAAATCATGCCTGCATAAAGGGATACAGACACAGAAGGAAATCTGGGTCTCATTACCACAAAAGGCTCTCGTGTTATGGATTACTTAAAAACACACACAATTTTTTTTTTTTTATGAGAAATGCCTCAGTCAATGGAACTCAAATGACTACCCTTCACTGGATGATTTTTCTCCCGTTGTGTCCAGGTCTCTTAGGCATACTCCAGCAAAAACTCACCCAGTTAGAAGAGCACAATAAATGTTGGGCCACTATGGAGGGGTTTCCCAAACAGAATCAAGCCATGCAATGTAAAGTCGAACCCAGCAAAGTCTCATGAATACCACAGAATAACCAGTTTAGAGTTTCTTTACTAGAGTCTCTGAGAATGCAGCTGCTACAGAACACTAAAAAGTTGTCAGAAGTCTGGAAGAGGCTATTATTCAAAACAAGGAAGATAATTGCATCATGACAGGAATAACATGGACCTTAAAATCAGGTCGACCAGGGATGACTTTAGCTCTACCACTGGCTAGTATGAGTCTTTGGAAAAATTACCTAAGCTTTCTGAGCCTCAATTTTCTTGTCTTTAAAAACAAAAATGAGTGTCATTATTACAACAATTGTCACAGTTGTAAGAACTAAATGAACATGGCAGCATCATGCATGATGTCTCATGTTACCACATTTCTCCTCATCCAACTTAAAATGTCCCATCCTTTTTTGAACAGGGGAATACTATTTCATCTTTTAAGACACCTCAGGTATCATCTTCTCTATATTTTCCTGATCTCCTCCCAACAGACCTGATTATTCCCACTTCTTTTGAGTCCCATGTACCTGCTATAAACTTCTAAGTGTCTGACACAGAGTATGAATTCAATGGATATTTCTTGACAGGCTTAGTTACAAACTGACCTCTACTAGACTGAAATCATCCTGCCATAGAGTCAATGCTTTAACCACCTTTGTATACTCTCAGCACCGGGCGCAGTAAAAGACACACACAGGGCACTCAGTACATACAGTATACGAAAGTGCCCTGCAGAATGCTAACATGAGATTTTAAAGCCCAATACTACCATATGTACTTCTTAAAATTTCTGATTCCTAGGAATCATGGGAAGTAAAAAAGGCCTTAGAATAAAATTAAACATGTACTTCATTTTTCTCTCCCATTTTTTCATTTTTTAACAACTGTACTAAAAAGCTAACCTAATTTTTTTAAGGCAGAAGGCATGTATTCAGTTTGCTGGGCATACTAAGCACAGATAGCTAATAAAAGCTAGGAAAAACTAGGGAACAAAGCACTTGCAGAAAACAAAGAATCAAGAAACATCCCAGAGTGAATTAAGGTGATACTCTCAATATGGATATCACTGCTTCCCTTGTTGCCTCCTCTCAAATCATTTGGTATTCAGCAGCCAGAGTGACTTTTGAAAATATCAACCAACTCATATTATCCCCCTTCTTGAAGCCCTTCAGAGGTTTCCCACTCCACTGAAATTACAACAGAAACTCCTGACAGTGGCCCCAAGGCCTGGCTGATGCTCCTATCTCTTCGATGGAACTCTTCCTTTATCTCATTGTGCCCCAGCCACGCAGGTCTGGTCTCTTTCCTGTCCTTCCTTCCTTCCCTCTTTCTTTCTGTCCTCTCTTTCTCTCTCTCGCAACTAATTCCAGTTACATTTATTGAGTGCCTTCTGTATGAAATGCCCTTTCAAATGCTGTCTCACTCAATTATCACAAGGAATTGGAGACACAGATATCACTTCATCCTACAGGTGAAGAAGCGAAGCTCTGAGAGATAACCTGATTTGGGCAAATCATGTAATCTTCTCCCACACCCTCCACCGTGAGTTTTTTCAGATCTATCAAGTCTATTCCTCTTTATCCTCCATCATGACCACCTCCTCTTCTAGGAATGCTCCTCCCCAAGTTGTAGCTTAGCTGTTCCTTTCAGCATTCAGATTTTCTGTTAAACGTTTCTCCTCAGAGAGGTCTTCCCTGACTGCTTTATCGATGGTAGATTCTCAAAGATAGGGTACTCCTGTATTAAATACCTGTTAAATACTTATTTTCTTGTTTATTGGTTGTCTCCCTCAATAGGTTGTGCTCCATGAAAGAAAGAATATATTGGCTTTTTCCATCATTATATCCTCGAAACCCAGCACAGTGTCTAGCATTCAGGTGCTCAATAAGTATCTTTTCAATGAGTGAATATTCTGTATCTCTGTAACCTGGCATAGGGCTCAAGGTACTCAACAGGTTTGTTAAACAAATGAATGAATGGGAAAAAAGATGTGTCATGGGCTTCAAGACACCGTAACTTTGCCTAAAATTAACAGCAAAGCAAATCTGTATGACTTATTAGAGGGAACACTGTACAATGGAAACCAGACAAATCCCCAGCAAGATCATTACCTAGCTTTGTGGTCTCGAGCAAGTCACAAGATAGCTCATTTACACATTGTAAACTGAGACTATATCACTTTCTTTATAGGTTTCCATTGTTTGTTTTTGTGAGGATTAAAGGTAAGGCAAAATGTCATGCTCTTAAATAAAATCTTAACAGTCATGTGAAACAGGTAGTACACGAACTAATGTACTCATACTATCAATTAGGAAATTAACTCAAAGCTTAGATGGCTTGCTCCAAAATATATGGTTTCTAGAAGGGGTACCTTGAATATAGGTTTTCCCCTTCCTGTTTTATCACTCTTCTCGTATCACGTCCCAACTACTTGTTGTAAGGTTTGTTACAGGACAAAACAGGTAATATATTAAAATAGTCTTAAATGTTATAAGATCACAAATAACAACATTTTCTTTAGAGGGAAATGGAAGATAGTCCTAATCAGAATTAGTAATGCTCTCTTCCTGAATAACTTCTTCCCAAATAGATTAATGTCTCTGAGAATAATCTATATAGTTATTTAATAGCCCTCAAAGCATTGTTTAGGTTAGGAGAAAACAATGGACTTTGCTAACAATAAAAGTAATCTTTCTACCAGTATGCCAAATAAAAGAAGCTCTTCTCTTTGGCATACTGATAAAGAGATCAGGAAAAATATTTTTAAATGCAACAACTACTATGAATCAACTCTCTAATATCTTTAATGTAATTTTTTTTGTAATATAAATTAAAAGAGGACAGAAATGACAGACAAGTTTAACCTATGGTAGTGGAAATCTCACAAAATTAATTTTCAAATAAATTTTATGTCAACAAAAATATGGTTTTCTGAATAAAACAGATTAACGTTTCTTGTTTTGCTCCCAACTACACACAAATTTTCCATGAAAATCAAACCAAAAGGAGAGGGACATTATTAGCATTCTTCAGAACCCTACTAACTGATTTTCTTAAAGCCCATTCAAAAACTATTTTCTTTTAACTCTCAAACAGAAGGTTCAATAATTTTTTCCCCATGATTAGACTAAATAACCTATTACGTCTTCCATCAGGGAATCTAACTCTATCTACTTACAACTGGGAAGGGACAGGTCCAGAAACCCTTCTGGATGAAGTGCCAGACAACCAATATTTCAAGATATGTCTCTTTTTCTCTGCAACATATCCATACATTACACCAAATCTTTAGAAGTAAAAAAGAAATAAAATACCTTGGAAGTCCTCAGAATTGGGCAGCTTGACACCACATACAAAGTAATCCTTATGCTCATTCTGTGAATATAACCAAAGAATGAAATTAGTTCTGTTGATATATAAAGCAAAGAAACTCCAAGTCTCAAAAATTTAGCAGATCGGTGTTAACTCAAAGACAACACTGTCATAGACTCAAAATATTATCCTAATTGTGGAAGCTGAATTATGAGTACATGATGATTTATCATACTGTTATCTGCACATTGATATATACTTAAAATTTTCTATACTATAAACATTTAAAACATCTTTATCTAAGCCATAAGCCATGAAAATTTTAATCGTAAAACTATCCTTTGACCAATTCACAGCTTATAAATGAAAACTTTTAAATGAATTAACAATATTCCATGAGCAACCTAAAATCCTATTAGCTTTTCTCTCGGAAAATTAATCTTTTAAATCTCTTTTCATTAAAAAGAAAACAAAACCATCAAATTTAGCAGATCTAGCTCTCTAAAAAAGAATCTTAAACAGTTACATTTGCATTTACTCTAAGAAACTAGATTAAAAAACTCAAAATCCTGACAGTTACCTCAGGAATATCTTCAGTAATACTAATAAATATAAATTAATTAGCAGTTGTATTTTTAAAGCAGTGCTCATGTATCTGCATGTACGTCAGATATGGTGGAAGCTGAGAATCTGGTTAAGTAAAAACGTCCTATATAAACTAGAAATAATTTGGCATTCCTTCAGCTGAAGGTGAGTGCCACCCTACCACCAAACTGATATAAAAAAAAAAGCAAACAGTGGAACCTAATGCCAACTAAGCCTAAATCTACTTTTTAAACAGATATTAGCTTCTGAATGAATCACGACAGAGCATATGATTAAGACAACAGAAATGAATTTTTTCATTGAGAGGAAATTTCAAACAGAACTCATCTTAAAAACAATTATTTTTAAAGAAAATTTGAAACTTACCAAATCAATAGGGTAAATGTAGGAAAGTTCGGATAGTAATTGCCTGCAACGAATTGTCAACTGAGCATTAGTCTTCAGAAAGAGTTCTCTAAAGAAAAAAGAAAAAAAGCACATGTTAAAAAAAGAAAGTTTGCATGCTAACAATTAGTACCACATAACGGGTGCAGAGGAAGATGAAATGGTGTGTAGTAGGCCACAGAAGCTGAGAAGTAAGAGCAAGCATGATAGCTAATATGAGTCCTGATCTATCTCTAAATACTACCAATCAGGTTAACCATGCACTGAGGCCTCCTGTGTGTGTCCAGCACAACGCTGACAGACGTAAAGGGACAATTACTCACAGACTGAGCACCTACTACCCTGTGCCAGGAGCTTTACAAATGGCTTTTTTCAATTATTCTAACAACTTAATTCGGATGGTATTATACCCATTTTATAAACAAGAAAATAAGATGTAGAGAGGCTCAGTAAGCCAACCAAGGCCTCATTTAGCCTGAGATAAGTTTGTTTTCAGGAAATATCCATATGGTATTCCCTCAAAAAAGTATTTTATTTTCACTTACAACTACAGATATTATAACTACTCAAAAAATGACCTGCTGCCATATTAGAAAAATAACAGAATAAAAAGAACAGAGCAAACAGCTGTGGATGAGATGGTGCAGCTCTTCTCCTGAACTACTTAAAAATACGGCCAACAGCTAAAACACCCGTAGAGCACACTATCTGCTCAACTGCGTCAGCAATGTAAGAAAACGAGGAAACAGAGGAGAAACAGCGGGTCAAAGGGGAACGTAAAAGTGGCAGCACGATGAACGAGCACTGAAGACTGAAAGGGATCTAGTCCTGCTTTCCTCATGTAACTTCCTGGAGCTCTGTTTTCTTATCTGCAGACTGAGACGACAGGATTACATATCTCCACAGCACTTTCCAGGTCTAACATTCTTGGACCTCAGTTGCTAAGAAAAATGCAGGATGAGATGACTTTCTAGGAAGAGTGAATGAAGATGCGGAAAAGAACAGAGGTGGCAACAAGTTAAGCATGTGCTGGAAAAAATAAAGGGAAAAAACGATTAGCATTTGTTAAGTGAATGTTGTGCAGTGAATGAAATTAGCTGTAGTTGTATGGGGCTAATTTATTGACGGTTTTGAAAGTGAAGCAAAACAACCATCATTGATTCTTTAGAAGAGAAAAAAATAACTGGTTAAAAATAGTATTTTAAGAGGAGAGGTCTGACAGCAGCATGGAGGATGAACTGGAAAGCTGGAGAGAGAGAATCTGGGAGCTGCTGAGGTCAGCCAAATGAGCTCACGGGAGTGAGTCTGAAGAACTGCTGAAGAAAAACTGTAAGCTACACTAGAAGACAGGAAGAAGGCAAGGTGCAAGTATTAAGTCACAATGCTGCGGCCTTGAAAACTAGAACAGTGTCCACGTTTCTGATTATGACCACACACTAGGAGCTCTCCTAACCGTCTCTAGCACAGTGCATGACACATAGTAGGTGTTGAATAAATGAATGTGACACTCAGGTGTGTGGAATATAAATTAATATCGGCAGCTTTAAAAAAAATACTCCTTTTGCAAATCCTATCCTCCAAGTAAACTCTACATTCAAAACAACTATTATCAGCATTCCACTTACCTCTTCGCAGTACACTCCTTCCTCAACTCATTTAGGGATTTCTTCTGGAGTTGAAGCTTGAGGTGCTCAGTTGAAAATGCACTTCCTAGAGAGAGACGAAGGGAGACAATTCCAGATGTGACACTGCAGACAGGACTGCCCCATCACAACCAAACAGGCAGAGCCCAGTCCCCTGACTGTGAGATGGAAATAAAAAGAGTTAAAACGCAAAGTGGGTTGGGTATAGAGGTCTTCTGGGGGAATTAACTAAAATAAACTTCCCTGTCGGGAAGTTTCCATTTTTATACAGCATCTAGCCAGAATCAAAGAGCAAGAGTCTAAGATTCTCTGTCTATGGATTTCCGACCAAGAAACCCCGATGAGACTTCAAACTTCAGACAACTTCATTTTTTTAAAAAACTGGCTATGGGCTCTGGGTGTTAACCATGATTCACTAAAGTTCATCAATTTTAACATGTGTACCACTCCAGTAGGGGAGTGTTGATAATGAGGGAGGAACAGATTAGGCTTGGGAGTACATGGGAAATCTGTATCTCCTGCTCAATTTTGCCACAAACCCCAAACTGCTCTGAAACATGTATGCATTTTAAAAAGTGGTTAATTTGTTTTCAACCACATACGCTATATACCAACATTACTGAAAATATGAAAAGTAGAGTGGGAAAAATTATCTGGATATCGACTACTATAACATAATTAATTTATAAGTCATTTTCATCTTCTTCATAAATATAAGTAAGTTTTAGTTACAATCACATTGCACAAGAAATGTATACTCTGATTTTTCCATATTATGTCACAAGCATTATTACATGTTGACAGATGGTCTAAGTTATAATGGTTATGTAAAATTTAACTCCATGATGTTAAATTATATGAATATTCCACATTTTAACTGATACATCAATATCTCAGTTCCAATACAAGACATTTAATTTCCTTTAAGTGTTTGCTTTAGCACTGCAATGATTAATATTTGTGTTAATATGCCTGACTTTTTATATTTATATCAGCTTTTGGAACCTCCACTTTCAGTTATGTGATCATAAAATTCTTTTACATCTTTCTACTCTAAGAAAATGAGCCTGTCTCAGGTTCTTGGTAATCCAAGCCTGAAAACTCCAAAGGTCCTGAAAGCACAGAGAAACAGTCTTAGAACCTGATACACTAAGTTCTAGATCTCACAAAGCAGTTTAGTTTCACAGTCTGTGATCCAACAGGAAAAGGTGCCCTAAACTCTTCTGCACGTCTTCTCTAGGGAGGAATAAGGAGGTTAATTGATCAAAACACAGTTGGACCCTAGCACTAAATTCACCAACCTAAGTAATTTTATCAATATATTCTAAGCACTCTACTCTCAACTGTATTTAAATGACCAATAAGTGCTAACTCTGTCTCCCATATAGAAATTGATCAAGGAACACAATCTATCTTCTTTAGCCCCAATATAATTCCTCCCCAAATTTTACCCTCAATGATTTCAGAAGACATTTAGGTTGACAACCTCCATCCCCAACCCCATGTACTTTTACCAGAAAACACATGAATTCTTCCACCACTACAGAAGTTCACAACGTCATTCTTCATCCCAGATAAAAGACTGCCTCAATTCTAGCACTACTAGTGAAATCACAAATAGGACCAAAACAGATCTGGGCTTCAAAACGTAAATGTTATGCACCTTCTTTAGTTTTGAAGATCTTTAGAATATATTACATGACCAAAAGGAAACAAAAAGGAAAATCCTTGTCAAGTGAAGAAAGTAAAATAAAATTTAAAAATACATTTTCTTAAAAAAAATACACTTTCTTCACTACTGGCTTACTCTTACCTCCCTTTAAAAATGTTAATGGCTGCCCCACAGTTTACAACATATAACTTTAATTAATAACAATCTACCTTCAAATAATATACCACTTTACGTACAGTATAAAATTCTGAGAACAGTACACTCCCAATTCTTCCCTTCCCCACTCTTTAAATACTTCATAAATTTTGCTTCATGTATAAATCCCAAAACACTGTTATTTTTGCATTAGAAAATCAATTGTCTTCCAGAGCAATTAAAAATAAGAAAAAATTTCTTTGTAACAACTTCCTTTCAATCATTTCTGGACCTCTTAATTTGTTTGGAAGTAGAGCCAAGTTTCTGTCTGGTATTTCTTCTCCTGAAGAAGTTCCTTTAACATTTCATGATATATAGGACTACTGATAATAAATGATCTTAGTCTCACGTCAAAGAGTTCTCTTTGCACTTCAGTTTGGGTAATTTCTACTGATTTATCTTCAAGTTCAATGATTCTTTCCTTAGTTGTGTCGAATCTACCAATGAGTTTGTCAAAGGCACTCTTCACCTCTATTACTGTGTTTGTGGTTTACAGCATATCCATTAGACTGTTTCTTACAGTCTCCATCTCTCAGCTGAAATTTATCATCTGTCTGTATATGTTATCCACCTTTTTACAAAAGTCTGAAGCATATTAATGCTAGTTATTTTAAATTCCCTCTCTGATAGACCCTATATCTGAGTCATCTCTGAGTCTTTTTCTGTTAATTTCTTCTTTTTGTCAACCTTTTGTTGGTAGTGGTGGTGGTGGTAGTGACGGTTTTTTGTTTTGTTTGATTTGCTTTTCTTGTCTCAAAATTTTTGATTGAATACTTACTGAACATCATTTGCAGGGCAGTGGAGAAAGAAAAGGACACGCTTCTTCTACTGTTAATTTGGGTGGCTGAGTCAATATAATCAGGAACTGACTGGATTTGGGTTTTGCTGTGGCCGTGATTACCTTCAATGCAACACATTCTTCAAATTTCCTAACTTTCCTCTGAATGCCTGCCTGGCATAAGCGGGCAGGCCCTGCTGACAATTAAGCTTTCCTTCAGGGTATATGCTGGGAGGAGGCAGAACTTTTACTTTAAGCCACTACAAGTGTCAAATAAAGAGAACTTTACTCTGGGATTATGTTACTTTAGGGTATTTCACTCCTTTCGTGTTTCCCTCTGAGTGGGTTGCAAAACTCCACAGTTGGGCTCTGCTCCATCTTTCTATGCCAAAATCTCACACCATGGGGCCCAACCAAGTCCTGACCATTATGTTTAGAAAGTAGTTGAAGCAAATGTTATAGGAAGTTACCCCAAATTCACAAAGGAACTAAAGTGGGCCAGTAGGCCGGTTACCCTAAGTATTGCTCCACCATTCCTGATTTCCATACTTGGGAATTCCAGGTTGAGGCCTCTGAGAGCTCTATCAGAAACACCCACTGCAGTCTGTTTCATTTGTGTTCTAGGCATCAGTGTGCCTCTATTCCAGTCTATTCATCAACACAATTCTATCTATTCTATTGTGTCTCTGAGAACTGAGTCAAGAATCTTTGCTATTCTGATGGCACCCTCTTTCATTTTCACCATCACCAAAGATTTATTGTTTATGCATGTATCTTTACCATCATATCAATGGGTCACTGAGAGGGAGAGAAAGCAAATACACGTGCTTGGTTTACGATATTCCAAAACTGCTTTCTGAAATGCTTGGCTCTATCCATGCATACACCATGGCCCCTCTGCTCAGCAAGAACTCAAGACAGGCACTTTAATTTTAACAACCAAATGTCAATGCTATCTCCTGTAAACTGAATAGCTAAAGATTATGAATCTTGCTTCAATCAACAAAACGAAACATAGACTCTTTAGCCTCTCTCTCACCAGAGTTTGGTCTCAGACTGGCCAATGGCCAGCTCCTGTCAAAATTACAGCTAAAACCAATAAACTGCCATTCTTCTAAGTTTTCTACATCAAGGCAGATGACCAAAACGCAATATACTTTGACTATTTTACTTTTTTTCTTTAGACAGAAATGCCTTTTCTCTACTAGGATTTATGATGCTGCCCTTCTCAAGGGTTAATAGATATTTCTTGCTGTAGCTTTTGCAAAATTGCAATTGACTGTATTTCATTACGATTTTTAATATCTAGCACATAAGAAACTGCATGCTAAATTCCTCTTGGAATTTATGCCAAGAGAAGATTTTTTTCTCCCTAAAGAATTGATATACTTCCTTATAACAGGCAAAAGGAAGCAACTGATACCTTTCATAACTCGACATAATTAGCTTGACAGCTGGGTCAGAGCTAATTTTAGTGCTCAAATACAATAGGCAGATACTACATGGGAGGCAGTGTACTGTACCAGAAAGCCATGGCCTTAGGAATCAGAAAGATCTGGGCTAATATTCTATCTATGCTACTTTCAGGACTCCAGACACGTCTTAACTTCCCTGAATTTCATTTTCCTCTTCTGTAAAATGGGGATAATTTCACTTTTATTGAATAACTGCAATCTCTCAAGCTGCCTCCATGAAGCTCCAAGTACGTAGAGAAAATTACACAACCAGTCTGATTGATTTTACTTTAAAAATAACAACCACACAGCACAAACAGGCACAACATCCAACAGTCCTACTACAATTGTCTCAAATAGTTTGCTTTTTCATTCTTGGAGATCACTATTCCATATATTCCCCCCAGACCTTAAAGCTCCCCTAAATCCAACATACCAGTTACCTCACTTCTACTACCTTGAAATAACAGGATTCCCTCATATTTCTACCTACAACCTAACACGTAGACACACCTAACACACCTGCCTCTATGCCATTTTCTTAGCCTTCTCCTATTCAATGGATAAGGCAAATATCTTCACTTATACTCTGAATTCCTTCTTTTCCCATCCCCCTGTCATACCACTCTCTTCCTAACAAATCACATTCCAGCTACAGTGGCCGCCTTTCTAACTCGTAATCCAGGTGCTCGCCATGTCTAAGCCCTTTCATATGCTGTTCCCTCTGCTGGTATCCCAGCAATTCTTATATTGCAAAACTGAGCTCCTCAAGCAAACCTTTTCTGCGCAGTATCTGTAAAAATGGTCTCCCATGGTTAACTTCTATCACCACAGCTTGTTTCTAGTACTTGCCACAATCTGATATTTAATTTACTTGTCAGTTTCTTGTTTACTATCTTACCCACTAGGTAATTATTGAAAATTGGAAGTCTTAATTCTTCCCCTTTCTTCCTTTGCCATGACATCTG